GGGTTTGAACTGCCAGCCTTCTGGTTAGCAGTCAAATGCCTTAGGCACTATGTTACCAGAGCTCCTAAAGAGGTTGTTAGTAAGTATTTCATCAAATCAAAGAACAACACTGTCAAAGATCTATACTAATGACATTCCATATACAAAATTGTAAATCAAAGTCTACTATCCTGGCCCACTTAGTTCTCAATTTTGCCTCAGTTCTATGTAGAGCCATTCATTTCAATACACAGAATCCTAGTAGGCTGGTCATTAACGCAACTAAGGAGGAGTTCATGTGAGGAGATGAAATTTTCTCATTATTTTATTTTTCATTTTGTTAAAGATTTATCTCTTCTATGCCAATGTGATGAAACTCGGGACATTGTATTAGTTTCTTAGGACAGTCCTAACAAATTACCACAGACTGGGTGGCTTAAAACAGAAATTTATTCTCTCACAGTTCTGGAAGCTGGAAGTCCAAAATCAAGATCTCAGTGGGGCCATTCTCCCTCTTATGGCTCTAAGGGAGACTCTTCCCTTGCCTCTTTCAGTTTCTGGTGGCTCCCAATGATCCTAGTGTTTTGACTTGTAGCTGTGTCACTCCAATCTCTGCTTTCATGTTTGTGTGGCCCTCTTTTCTGTGTCTCTGTGTGTCTCTCTGTGTTTTGTCCCCTTCTTATGAGGACATCAGTCATTGGATGTAGAGCCCACCCTAATCTAGTATGATCTTATCTTGATCCTTGCCTTGATTTCATCTCCAAAGCCCCTATTTCCAAATACGTCTGCATTCTGAGGTCACAGGTAGACATGAATTTCTGAGGTCACTATTCCATCCACTACAGACACCAGAGTAAATAAGTTGCATTTTAATATTATGCATTCATATTCATTTTAAGGGAAATAATCAATTTAATTTGTTCACAAAGGCAATAATTATTAGAGTACATGAAGGGTCATCAGGAAAGAGATCTACAATGACCTCTCCTGTTCTCTTCCTGCTCAAAGACAGGCCCAAATATAATAATATGATTACCTCATATTATAGGATCGCAGAAAGCTAGGTATTTGCAGCTGGTAGTTTTAGGGTTATTCATTCTTGTGTGGTGTAGCTCTAAAGGAAATGAAGGCCTTGACTCACTGTCATGTGGAGGGACACCCAGGAGGGACAGCTGGGTTGTGATTATTTATTCTGCATGAATGGCCTCCTGCTGTTGTCTCACCACTTTACTACCTTTTCTGTTATAGGTCACTGGGTGACCAGGAAAGAAAGAAGTCAGCAAACATAAAACTAGTTGATATATTATTTAATGGGAGAAACTACTGGTTTTAATTTGTTGTGAGAACTTCTGCAGGATTTCCATTCTATACCACTCAGGATAGTGAAAAGCAGCTTGCTGTGTCCCAGGGCTCACTGGAGCTGAGTGCCCTGGACTACTTGGTTCATTGCTCATTAGGTGGTTCATTGTGGGTTTTCAGTGGACACTGGGAGAGGTCAAAAAAGGGCAGTGAGATCTGCTCTGAGCTCAGAATTAAACTCTCCTTTTAAAATAATTTTGTCTCAGCATTCAGAGCCCCCCTCTTCCCATTAAAAACTGTGATTCCAGGTGATTATTTTTAAAATGTCTTTATCGTATTATTGGTATTAGAGGCTTTGCATCAGATAAATTGAGAATTCAAGAGGTTATAAACCTTAATGAGAATCACACTTTGGTCAAATATTAAAATTTCAAAGTATGACTTGATTTGATATCAACATTCATTTCTGATTCTTTCAACATAATCTCAAAGCATAGAAATTCAATCAAATCAAACATTTTAAATCCAGAGATATGCAGTAGCCATTGAGCAGTGGTCAGAATGCACAAATGCCCAGTAGAGTAACTAGATAAAACTGTTAATCTGAAAAAAATGAAATTTCAGAAGTAAGTAGTGGAAGGTGAGAGAGGCAAGACATTTTGATTCTTATAAATATAATGTTACTTTGCTTTTTAAATATAACTAACTCTAATTCCAGTTCAGTTTGTCTTTTGAACATAACCTCTGTTAATTTCTTTCAGTTCTTTGTTTCAACACCAGTTTTCAGCTATGATGCCATTTCATACTACAAAATATTTAGTGACAAGGATGGCTACAAACATATTCACTATATCAAAGATACTGTGGTATGTTCGTTCCAAGTTTTATCTCCTCAAAGATCATTCACTTGAGGTTGCTCAAATAACGCTGAGCTTCACACAACATAATGTTTGTCTTTTTATAGGAAAATGCTATTCAAATTACAAGTGGCAAGTGGGAGGCCATATATATATTCAGAGTAACACAGGATTCACTGTAAGTATTGCACAATATACCATTCAGGTTTTAATAGGCACTGATGGACGTGCAAATGATACTGCACCATCTCTTTGGCTTCAGAGTATTTTTGTTTGTCACTCTATAGTTTAATGTGATTTCATTAAAATGGCAGATTCTTTAATAATCAGTCTTTCTTTTGGAAAGAATATTTCGTAGGTGTTCATTTTTCTTCTTATATACAGAGAATAAACTCTTTAAAATAATAACTGGTTTTATAGTCAAACTTTACTTTTTAGCACTTACATATGGAAATTCTTTTATAACTCTTCACTATTATGTAAGTATAAAATTACTATCTACATATATCATTTATTGAGAATTACTGTGCTCCAGATACCGTGAAGTAGAAATGATTATCCAGGGTTTATAGATGAGAAAACTAATACCCATAAAATTGAATTAACTAGCCAAGGCCATACAGTTAGTTAGTGGTAGAACTAGCATTCAAACGCAGAACACATTAACTCTAAGACTATGATTGTTAATCTCAACACCAGACTTTTTTCTTTCTGTTATGGCCTTTTTTAGTCAGTTGTACACAAAGAACCATCTTAAAGTAATCATTTATGATTAAACTTCTCTAATCAAGAATATACAGTTCCTTCCCTTTATCTCTAATAATCTAAATTCAGAGGTACTCTCTTAATGCCCATGATCTACCCACCATTTGCTGAGATTCTAGGATGGAATCTGAGATGATTTGGTCAGGGTAACTGGAAGAAAACCTGTCAGAAACCTATTGCCAATCTATGGGATCCTTTGAATGGTGAACAAAAGAGTTTGGAGATTATGTTAAGCAGCCATTGAAGTCACTTGAGTAATGTCAGGCATAATATGTTTTAAAGACAGAAGAAGACTGCAGGCAGGTAAACTCAGCAATGCTCATAATCTAGGCTTGAGGTTATAGAGGCCTGCACTGGAATAACAATGAAATGTAGATCTTTGAGGGCAAAGCTATGCCTTCTTTTTTCACATCTTTGGTACTTAGCCTACTGCCTGACACAGAGCAAGAGCTAAAAAAAATACCCATTGAATGGAAGACAGGAAGGAATAGATGGTAAATACAGCATGGGGGCTCAAAAACCTAAAAAAAAAAAAAAAAACCCACTGCAATCGAGTCGATTATGACTCATAGTGATCCCTGTTGGGTTTCCCAGGCTGTAAATCTTCATGGAAGTAAATCGCTTCATCTTCCTCCCAAGGCTTCATCTTCCTCCCAAGGAGCAACTGGTGGGTTTAAGCTGCCAACCTTCTGGTGAGCAGCCAAATGCTTTACTCACTACACCACCAGAGCTCTGTATGAGGACCTAAATAAGGTTGGATCTGACGACAAAGGAAAGGAAGGAGAGAAAGTGGACTTTGTTGCAAGTTTTAGAGATGAAGAGAATTGGGAACCTTTGAAACATAACAAGAGAGATTGAGTAGTTTTAGTCACAGGAAGTTTGAGCTGATGTGGGAAAGGCAAGTGAAAGTGATGATCAGAGTCATGTGAAATAGTAAAGACATGTAGGAAGATAATAGTTCAGAAGATAAATTTAATGCTCAGAATGAATTGTATTACATTGCCTTTTCCTTTTCCTTGGAATTACAAGGTTTTATGACAGTGAGGAAGTAGTGCCTGGACTTTATCCAATAGTTCTGAGAATTAAAAATTGGTAACCAAACTTTTATTATTTAAACCTTTCGTACTCTATTATGCTATGTCTAAAAAAAAAAAAAAAAAAAAAAAAAAAACTCAGTTACTTTGTGATATTTAGATGAACTCAGGGGAGATTGGAAATAATATAACTAAGTTGGCTTTGCCTGGAATATAATAAAAAAATCTTTCACACCTCAAGATAGAACATTCAAAAGATGTTGTATACAGCATCAGTATAAAAATATTCACCTAGAACATGTTGGCCAGCTCAAAATGTTTGTTTTCAAAAGGAAAATAATTGTTAATATTAACAGTTCTATCATTAATCAGAAACCTGGTGGCACAGTTGTTAAGCAATTGAGTGGTAACCGAAAAGCCAGCAGTTTGAACCCACCAGTAACTGTGAGGGAGAAAGATGTGGCAGTCTGCTTCTGTTAAGATTTACGGCCTTGGAAACCCTATCGGGGCAGTTCTACTCTGTCCTATAGGCTCACTAAGGTTCAGAATCAACTCAACGGTAAAGGATTTGGCTTTATCATTTAATCACCAATGCTTATTTAATAATTTCTGAATATATTTTCAGGTTTTATTCTAGCAATGAATTTGAAGGCTATCCTGGAAGAAGAAATATCTACAGGTAATTCATGTCAATTCATTCTCTTATTTTTATAAATTGATATTTTAATAAAAATATGTCAGAGTTCACAGGAGATATACACTATTTTAAAAAGCCTAAAAGGTAATAAAAATCATTTTTGAGTTAAGATAAACATTCAAATGATGTTATATACCACTTCAGTATAAAAATTTATACCTGAAACCATGACCCATCTCAAAATGTTTGTTTTCAAAAGGAAAAGCCAAGGGTACATGATAGCTCAAACAAACTTAGAGGCAACTGAACATATTCATTCATTTAGCATGTATTTACTAAGTATCTTTTGTAGTAGGTCTCCAAGGAGCTCTGGTGGTATAGTGGTTAAGACATTTGTCTGTTAACCCAAACACCGGAGGCTTGAACCCACCAGCCACTTTGTGGAAGAAAGATGAAGCAGTCTGCTTCCATACAGATTTGCAGCTTGGAGACCCAGTGGGGGGTCACTATGAGTTGGTATCAGCTTGATGGCAGTGGGTTTTTGGTTTTGTAATAGGTCTCCAGGCCTTTCTTCCAAGGTGGCTGGATGGACTCAAACCTCCAATCCTTCAGTTAACAGCTGAACACATCAACTCTTTGCCCACCCAGGGACTTCCTAGTCTCCCCAAAATGAGATTTGATTCTGTGGGTTTGGAGTGAAGCCCAGAAATATATACATTAAAGCCAATAACCCAGCTCAAGAACCACAGAAAGAGCTTTGCTATGAAAAATGGGGGACCAATGAGGAAGCCACAGATTGAGTTGTGTATGAATATGCAGAGGAAGCACCCCTACCTGGGCTGAGCTTCCTTGAATCCTAACTTCACACTGGGATGAATGGAGGGCACAGTATGTACACAACCAGGATCTCTTATTTCACAATTGCTTATACTCATTATTAATTTCCCCTTCCGGATATATAATAAGAAAAGGGACCCCTTTCTTGATGATATGTCAGATTTCCCTTATATTTTGCTATGGGGTACAAAAGAGAGGTGCGAAGACAGAGCTGTGAATTTCCTAGCACCCAGTAAAGTGCAGGAGATTCATGGGAAGTGATACATTCATTCCCATTGAGCTTTAGATTTGTCTCCCATCCCAGGGAAACCACAGACAGCTTCTCCCTTGAGATTTGTGCCTATTCAGGCAAAGATGGATCAAAAATCCGGCTGCATCAAAATACTGTGATTACCCTTTATTATAAATGACATTGGCAACAGAAAATTTGAGTGGGTTTGATAAATAGGTAAATTAGTCATTTTACATAGAGTAGTAATACAGTGACAAACACAATTTCAAAATTTCTGCTTGGTGTTATTTTCATTTTCCTCTAGAATTAGCATTGGAAGCTATCCTCCAAGCAAGAAGTGCATTACTTGCCATCTGAGGAAAGACAGGTGCCAATACTACACAGCAAGTTTCAGCGACTACGCCAAGTACTATGCACTTGTCTGCTATGGTAGGTAACAAACCTAACGCAAGCACTACTGTCCCCACTGCCACTGTCATTATCTTCATCACCAACATCTGACTCATAGCTGCTGGTTATTGAGCACTTAATATTTGTAGGGATCTTTGCCTACATGTAGAGTGTCTGAGTGGTGCGAACAGCTGATATGCTCAGTTGCTGACCAAAAGGTTGGGGGTTTGAGTCCACACAGAAGCACCTCAGAAGAAAGGCCTGAAGAGCTACTTCTGAAAAATCAGCCATTGAAAAGCCTGTTGAACACAGTTCTAGTCTGATGCCTATGAGTTCATCATAAGCCAGTATCAATTTGATGGCAATGGTTACTAATTGTCTACATTATTTCATCTAATTCTTACAAGAAAAAAAGAAGAAAAAATGAAAGGAAGATTTTTAAAAAGTTGCTCTCAAGTTTATTCGTACCATGTGTGTCAGAGTAGAACTATGCTCCATAGAGCTTCTAATGGCTGATGTTTCAGAAGTAGATCACAAGGCCTTTCTTCTAAGGTGCCTTTGAGTGGGCTCAAACTGCCAACCTCACAGTCAGGAGCCAATAGCATTGACTATTGGCACCACATAGGGACTTAAAGGGAAAGTTAAAAGGAAGGTATAAAAAAAAAAAAAAAAAACTCACTGTTGTCGAATCAATTGGACTCATAACGATCCCTCCCTGGGTTTCAGAGGCAGTGTCTCTACGGAAGTAGATTGCTCAATCTTCCTTCTGAGGAGTGGCTGGTGGGTTTAAACTGCTTAGTGGTCAGATGCCTTAGGCACTATGCCACATGCTTTAATATTATTTATGTCCTTACAACAACTTAATGATGATGCTACCATTATTACTTTCATTATGTAGACATAAAGGAAGCTACGCACATATTCTCTTCTAAGGGGCAAGAGGATTAGGGAACAAACAGAATCTCAGACTAGTTTGAGATCCCTGCTCTGTGACAGAGCCCCCAAAACTCCCTTTACTTCCCTGAACAAAGGCCACCCTGACATACTGCTCCCCTTATCCAGTCACCTGGCCCAGAACATCAGCCACAGCACATTTGACTGTATAGAAATTAATAAGCATTTTGACCCCAATGCTCTTTTCAAGATAGCCCAAGATGTCATTTTGATATAACATGTTCACAAAATGTTTGGTCAGAGACATCTTTGAAATGTTAAGAGATTATCATTCATGACCATATGTGCAGATTGTGAGTATGGCATTTAAAGGTACACATTAAATTATGTGCAATGTTGTTCAACCCGAGCTATGTATTAATTCAGCATGTATTGAAAGCTTGTATGCCAGGTGTATAGCATCACTGAACTTACCACTCTGAGTTACCTGTTTATTTCTTCTCTCCTGGAAGGCAGGAGCTGATTTCTTTAATCTTTGTTTTCAAGACCAAGAAGAATGGCTAATACATAAGAAAGTCAACATTTTCAAATGAGCATAGATGCTAGAGGATATCAAAGGATCACAGCCTTTCACAAAGTCCAGCAAAAAACTCACTCCAGATAGACAAATTTGGGGCCCCCGGGGATGGCCTCAGGGCCTCGGGCAGTCAGCTGCCACACCCAGATAGACAAATTTGGAAATGCATAGTATTATGGATGGTTGCACAACATAACAAATGTAATTAATGTCATTGAATTGTACATGTAAAACAAACAAACCTAATTTTATGCTGATATGTATGATGACAAAGGCATTAGTGACCCTACACTAATATATATGCACATTTGTATTTCTGTGCATTCTGCATTTGAATAATTCTTTAACATTCTTATTACATTACATCATATTTTTTATCACTTTGGCCTCCTCTGTATCTGCTTGAGCCTTAAGTGCTTACTGAAGAGCCAAGGACTCAACGATCATACTCGTATCCAAAGTTGGTGGAAGAATCCTTTCTAGAACTTGAATCGCCTGACTTTTCCACCACTCACTCTTCTTCGGCAGTATGGTAATTTCCCATTTAGCAAAAAATATACTGTGTGGGAAGCCCCACATCATCTGGTGTTTTTGAAGCTCCAGTAAAATGAGTCACTCCGCCATCATAGGAAAAACCTTGAAATCTTTCCCTTTAGGACTAAGAGTAAAGCCTCATTATGTAACTTTAAACTCTGCCGAGGTGGTGGTGAGTAAATCCCCAATTATAGGAATAAACCAGGTAAAATCATATTGATGATGCTGATGGAACAAAAGCAATACAAAAGAAGAAATCTAGGTAATTTATGCTTTTCCACCAGGACCACACCCAAGGTCATTTGTGTGATGGGCAATTAGTCAATGATATGCCCCATACCTTGTGGAATAAAGATAGGTCAATTGTCAATACCGGAACTGCACAGCCATGAAAATTCAACAGGGTGGATGTTGATTGACTAAAGATTTGGAAATTTAGACTCATGTCTCATTTCCTTACATTCTGAACCAAAAAATAGTATGTATACTGCTCCTTTTCAATAACTTCGAAGAAAAATAACTTTGAATTAAAATAGTTTCAATTAAATTCCTTAAAATTCTGAGACTCTACAATTAAGAACTGTTGTTTTTTGAGAGATCCTACTAAATAATACCTTCTCCCCCATCCCAACTTTGAAACTGATTAAGCTAGGCTGAGGAGTCAAGCAGATGTAGATCAAAATGTGGAAGTGTTAGCTTTTTTACCAGTAAAGACTCATTGGAAAAAGTGGCTAAAGTCCACGGCTTCCTAAAATTGTGTCCCAGAATTAGGATTATGCAAACATGGGTACAAGTAGGCAGTCATGTGGTTCCCTTATGGTGTGTGACATTGTCAGCACTGCAGGCAGAAAAATTCCAGGAGAAAGACAGAAAGAGTTCTCATACCCAAGTCTTTTCCCAGAGCTCACTTCTTCCTTGTTTATGTGCCACCATGTGGGTTACTCTGAAATACTCCCTCCTTGTAGAAGGAAGCATCAAAGCATCAGAATGTCAAGTGAACTTCCACCTCTAACTGCCATGCTTGTTGCTTTTAACTCTAACTACTTGAATGGATTTATCCTTTAAAAGTATATTTCCAGGTATTAATTTATTTTACAGTTCAAGTAAGTGATTTAATTATTTGTAGACACCATTAAAAGGAACAGTTTCAACACAAAGAATCTGAATTCTGTATTGGAATATGTTATAGATACTGATGTGCCACCCAGAAACCACACCTTCAGGCCTCAATCACTCATTTCCCTAGCTTCTGAGAGAACTGGTGACTGACAGCTCATAGCTGAGTCCCGTCTCTAGAGTTTGCCCTTGCCCCAGGCCGCAACCAATGACTACTCCAGGCTAGAGTATGAAAGTCTGTCATGTTGCTTCAATTTGAGACAGCTCTGTAAGGCTACTCCAGCTCCAGAGCTCCCCATGAGATAGGTTACGTTCTTTCTTGTGACTGCCCTGCAGCCCACCTTCTGTCTCTGCCTCATCTCTCCTCCCTACCCCCACAATTGGTCAGCCCAACAGCACTGCCCCAGAAATTACCAGTACACAAACCTCCATCTGGATGTGTTCTTTGGGGAACGTGACCTCCCACAGCATATTTGAACAAGAAAAGTATTCCATGTGAATTTATTTCTGCATATATCGTTGTTGTTAGTTGCCATCAAGTTGGCTCTAACTCATGGTGACCTTAAGTATAACAGAACAAAAAGTTGCCTGGTCCTTCATCGTCTTCATGATCATTACACATTTGCATCTTTCAACACTATGTTGAACAACGTTTCTGTTGGAATAACATAAAGTTTTCATTGACTGATTTCAGAAGTAGATCACCAGGGTTTGGTCTGTCTTAGTCTAGAAGCTCTGCTAGCACCTGTCTACCATGGGTGACCCTAATGGTATTTGAATAACACTGGCATAGCTTCCAGCATCATAGAAACACACATGCCACAACAGTATGACAGACTTACTTGTGGGTGCTAGCTGCACCTATTAGTTATGTGAAATAAAAGATATTCGATTTTACCCACCCAAATATACTGAACTTTAAACCAGAAGTCCAAGTTAAAAATACATCCTGGGTACTGGTGAAGTTTATTTGATAATAAAGACACAACTAAAACTACCACAATACAGCATAGCACCTTCCCAGGCCATTTGCCACTCCTGCTTAATGAGTCCATTTGTATAATTAGATCTAACTAAGGTTGGGCAATCCTACTTCCGTAGTGATACTGCCTCGGAAACCCAAGGAGGGGTCGCTATGAGTCGGGGCCGACTCGACGGCAAATAACAACAACAACAACATTCAGCATCAGGAACTCTGGTAGCGTAGTGCCTAAGGCACTGACTGCTAACCAGAAGGCTGGTGGTTCAAACTCACCAGCCACTCCTCGGAGGGAAGATGGGGCAATCTACTTCCGTAGAGATACTGCCTTGGAAACCCAAGGAGGGGTTGCTGTGAGTCAGGTCCGACTCGACGGCACATAACAACAACAACGACAACATTCAGCATCACTCTTGGAAGAGTGTGCAGGTAGCATAGCTCTTATATCTGTTCTTTGATTGAGCTCTGATCTCACATGTTGTTTAAATGTAAAATAAAAGGGGAAGTTTACTTCTCTATGAGAAAAACCAGTGTGAAAAAAATCAGCTACATGCTTAATAGATGTATGTGAGCTTGATACTAATCACAAGTCAGCAGTTCTTGTTGAAAACTAAGTATTATTTTGAAAATAAGCCATGTTTTTGTTCTTATCCTGTGCACAGGCCCAGGGCTCCCCATTTCAACCATTCACGATGGCCGCACTGATCAAGGTAGGTACTCTCTCTTGCTTGCTGTTGTCTTGTCTAAAGAAATTCTGAGTGCCCTGTGATACTGCATTAGGGGAAGCAAGACACTTTCCCTACACTGACAAAGTGAACTGTGGCAGAATCCTGCTATCATACAAATCATTATTACACCAATTTGGATGTTCCTTGGGTCAAACCTGGACATATGAAATTTAATAATTATTTGTGATAAGAACCAGGTATAAGGCAGATAAGTTATATCAGGGGGATTAATCCTGTCTCCTGAAATCAGCCTTATAAAAAGCACAGAGCTTAAGAATTGGAAGGAAACTTAGGACATTCAGTACAACCTCCTTCCCAAATAAGAATTCCGTTTTTTGTAACATCCCAAACTGGAGACAAATTCCAGATATAACTTCTCCAGTTCAGAGCAGAGGGTGACTATCGCGCTAGCGTTTTTGTTTTAACAGCTACATCACACTGTTGCCACATATGAAAGCCCTGAAATTTGGAGGCTCTTTCCATTTTCAACTGCTATCAAGATAGTCCTTCTCCATCCGGTATTTGTGATATTGGTTCAAAATAGTTCACAGCTCAAAGATGACCATTTTTTCTCTCAACAGAGTTATTCAAGTGGATAACTGCTTGAGCACTTTTCTTCCTGGTTCTCCATTACCTTTTGATTTATTATTAAACAACATTATAGGACTAGAGTTGTTGGAGACCAGGGACAAGGAGGGACAAGCAGATGCCACGTCCTTCAGCACTCATACCCATTATTGTCCCTGGAGAGCTTTGGTGATAAGTCAGGAGATGGCTTTGGGTTTAGTTTGGCTGGCAGCTCAGTGGGTCAAGTATTGGTGAAAATAAGCCAATGATGAAAACAGAGTCAGTTTAAGAACTCTGGACAGTACTGACATTGAACTGGGACTGTGAATTTAGGTTCATTTTAAAGTTATTTTACCCAGTGTCTAATGAAATGCTTTCCAAAAATAACAGATTGTATTTTCCTAACTCACCAATTTGAACAAAAATTCTTTCAGAGCAAAATTCCCTAAACTTGCCTGATAATGAAATTTGCCTGATAAAATGATCATAAATACTGATCTCAGTCCCACCCCAGAGATGCCAATTCAGTAGGTCTTGGATTGGACCAGGGAATCTGTATTTTTAATAAATGCCCCAGACAAGTTTTAGAGCTGTTGTTTTAGAGAGTCTTCTATTTATTTACAGTTTTTCACCCATTTTCCATTGCATTTGGTGTCAGCAACCTTCATTCAACAAATACTTTTTTGAGCACCCACCATATTAAGCCAGACACTCGACTCATAAGATGAAAAGATACTGGGTTAGACATTGTCTGGAGAATGAATAGGAAATGCAAATGTGTGACTAGGCAGTTACAACACAGTATAACAAGTACTAAGGGGACATACAGAGCCTGAAAATACAGAAGAAGGGCAACATATCTGGGAGTTTGGGGTCAGGCATGTTCTTAATGATAACTACATCAAACCTGAGATTTATGAGAATGAAGGAGGATAGATGGTTCTTGATTATCTGGCTTGGTCAAGTGGATTGATAGTGATACTTTTTTATTGAAGGAGAGAACTCATTGTGGCGAACAGGTTTTTAAGGATGTGTTGAATTTTGTTTTGAAAGTCAAGTTTGAGGTACTGATGGGACATCCAAGAGGAGCTGTCCTGTAGTTAGCATACCCTTGAATCTGTATATCTGATTTGGACTGAAGATAATGCTCAGGAAGTCTTCAATTTTCGAAACGCGTAGTCCCGAAAGTCATGGACGTGGATGAGTTCAACAGAGTGCAAAAATGAGGGTAAGCAGAGGTGGTGGAGAGTGATCCTAGAATAAAACCATACAGAACATCAACACTCAAGAAATGGAAAGAGAAACTGAGTCTGTAAAGGAGATTGGGAGAGAAGAGAAGGGAAGGACAACTTTGAGAGTAAGAAGTCATGAAAGGCAGGGGAGGAAAGGATCTCAAGGATAGCGTGTTCAGCTGTTTCCAGTGCTGCAGAGAATGAATCAAGAGCTGCTCTAAATCTTAAAATTAACTTTTTTTGGCCAGATTAGCTTCAGTGGAGCAGTGGGGATGGAAGCCAGATTGAAGTAAATTTAGACCTGCATAAAACAAAAGAGAATGAAACAAAACTACAGTTGCCATCAAGTTGATTCTGACTCATGGGGACCCCATTTGTGTTAAAGTGGAACTGTGTGCTATAGGGTTTTCAATGGCTGATTTGCTAGAAGTAAATTGCTAGGACATTCTTTCAAGGTGCTCTGAGTGGGCTTGAACTGCCAAACTTTTGGTTATCAACTGAATGCTTAACCATTTGTATCACCTAGGGAGTCTTAGGCCTGAATAGAAAGTAAATAAAAAGACCCTATATTTTAAGTAAGACTGGCTGTGACAGCTGGGGAGAGGTAGGATGATGGCTGGGAGGGATTAATGGAGTTTTAATTTTGGTTTTGAAAGATAACAAATATTTTAGCCTGGTTAAATTTTGATGGGAGAAATTAGGAGACCAAAAGGAATTAAGAACATAGAGGAGAAAGGTCCGGAGAAGTTGGGAAGGGATAGAGGCCAGAGTACAGTTAAGGGGATTGGTCTCTCACATTGTAATAGGAGAGAATGAAGAAATCATTGGTGTAATTTAGGAAAGTCTGTAGACATTAGATAAATTGCTTCATTTTCTCTATGAAGAGGAAGAAAGTCATGTGCAGAGTGTGAGAAAGTAGTGCATGGTTAGAAGTTTGAAAATAGCAAATAGTGTTTGAACCAAATGCTATGGAAACCCAGCATTGCAGGTGCTCATTAAAATTAACTAATTGACCTCTTTCATCAGCTCTTCCATGGATTCTTCACATAATTTAAATTAATGAAAAATATATCTTATTTAATATGATTTAGACAGAAATTACATGGAGCACATACAATGTGTCAGGTACTAGGTACTCAGTGTGCTTGGTACTGAGTACACAATGATGAATGAAAGAAAGTAAAAGATGTTATCTGAACTACAGCACTCCTTTCTAGATTAAAAGCTAATGTAAAGCCATGCTGAGAAGAAGCCCAATTTCCAACTCTCACTCTTCTCATACCCTATAAAATTCCATTTCTGCTTCAAGAGGTACAAAACTTACTTATCATCCTTAAAAATGTAGCCCAGCACCATAGAAGCATTAAGAAAGTTTTTTTTATATTATTAAATTTGACCTTTCAGTAAATAATGAATCAGAAAATTTCCATAGCTAGGAACAAAATGGAGAAATCAAAGACATACCAACATAACAATATCTACATATTGTCACTGACTTTCAGTAATGTGATAAAATAATAGATAAGCAAATAATGCAGCCATTCTGTAGGCTTGCTCCATACAGGATTGTCTTTAATCCACAACAACTTCTCACGCAGAATCTAGTCAAGGAGAATGAATGAAAAGCTGGTTCTAATGTACTTGAGAGCACTGGTGGCATAATGCCTAAGACATTTGAATATTAACCAGAAGGCTGGCAGTTCGAACCCACCAGCCACTCCTTGGAAGGAAGATTGGGCAATCTACTTCCATGGAGATACTGCCTTGGAAACCCAAGGAGGGGTCACTATGGGCCAAATCAACTCCATGGCAGTGAGGTTTTTTTTTATTGTTTTGGTTTTTTAATGTATTTCGAATTGCCTCTTTCATTTCTTTGGTTTTAACTTTGCAGGACCCACAGGTATCTCTTTCTTGATGGATTTTCCAAAGTTAGTGAAATTTATTATGTATCTTGTACAACTCATACCCAAAACATCTATACTTGTACTAGGATTAAATATAACAAGTTGGAGAAAATGCCATAAGTATATGAAAGCTGCGAGTTACAAGGGAAGTGATTTGGCAAACTCAGTGTAGTTACAAGCACTCCTCCAGTTCCCTATCTTCAGGGACCACTTTTTTAAAAGACACAAAAACAAAAAGTTCACAGGATGTCTTTTGTAGAAATTACCATGTCTCAGAAGTCATCCAGATTCTCTTTTTAAAAACAAATGCCACATATTATATGGAAGACTAGTTTTTCTTTTAGAAGATGACTGGTATCAATCCCAGTTCAAAATAAAAGCTTATGAAAAGCTCTCTATTTCTAGAACCCCATTTATATATATATCATCAATCTGCAACATCCAGATCAATGTATTTGTTCAGTTTCAAAGATTAAAGTGTGAAACATAGCTGAGCTAAAGAATAAACAGCATTTTTTAAAGTGTTTTTTTAAGGTGAAGACAGAAAGATTAATATATATATATATATATATATATATATATATATATATACACACACACATTCCTTTTTCTATCTCTCTGTCATCTATCTATCTATCTATCATCTGTATCATTGTTTTACCAAGATAGGTATCTGACAGAAAGCTTTTGAGTGAATAGTATGCCCAGTAATTCAATTACCAAAAAAAAAAGTGTTCAGTATTAATCAAATACAACAGAAAAAGATTAAGAAATAAACATAAAAATCATATAAACAATATTTGACTTCACACACTGAAAATTAAAGAATTAACTTTTTATAAGTACTCAGTGAATTATTTTAAATTTGAGGGCTCAGCAATCTAGATTTTACTTCCACTTTTTTCAGTAGATGAAGAAAGTGTCACCTAGCCCTTTAGGCCATGGACTTAAGTTGCAAAAATCCAGTTGAAAATGAGAAAATGTGGTTGAATAAACATAGTTGCTTCTATGATTCTGCTCAAAATGTGTGTCAATGCCATATGAATCATTTAGGGAACAATTACTGAAATTGATACCTTTTATAAGCTCATAGCAAAACAAAAACAAAAACTTACTGCCTTCGAGTCAATTCTGACTCATAGAAATCTCCTTTGGGTTTCCAAGGCTGTAAATCTTTATGAAAGTCAATTGTCTCATCTTCCTCCTGTGGAGCAGCTGGTGGGTTTGAACCACCGACCTTCTGATTAGCAGCCAAATGCCTTTCCCACTATGCCACCAGAGCTCCTTTATAAGCTCATACATGCTTTAGAAATTGGGTGAAAAGTATGATCGACAATATTAATTAAAAATTGACATTGTATTCTTTTAAGAAATTAAGATACTGGAAGAAAATAAGGAATTGGAAAATGCTTTAAAAAATATCCAGCTGCCAAAAGAAGAAATTAAGAAACTTGAAGTCGATGGAATTAGTAAGATCTTTAAAAAACTTCTTTATAAATATGAAATTCAATACTTGTTTTGTTTTGTTTTTGAACACAAGGTTAATGTTGCAGTCCAAACTCTACAGTATATTATAAGATCTTAATTAAAACAATCTTACTGTAACAATATTAATTTCACTAACTTTTTTTTATATTTGTGAATAAAGTAGACCTTTTATTTTCCATAGCTCCATTTCAACCCTTGTCTTTAAAAGAAAAATAAAAGTACTTATCTAATTTTAATTTTAGAATGTGTGCTTTTAGAGCAAACATTAATTTGAGATTTCTAGACATTAATAAAGTACACACAGAATATGTAACAAAAAATCTATTCAAAGCACATTCTTGTGTCGCAATAATTTACTAGCTATGAATTGATTTCATGTTGTATACTGTTATTTTTTAAATATTGCCAGGATTACTGTGGAATGAAAATTTTTCTTTTTTTTTTTCAAAGCTTTATGGTACAAGATGATTCTTCCCCCTCAATTTGACAGATCAAAGAAGTATCCCCTGCTAATTCAAGTGTATGTAATATTTTCTTTGGTGTAAAAACAATTTACTGAAAATATGTTGGATGAAATGCACATTTATGAGATAGAATGAACCATTCTCCTTGGTAACAGTTCATATTGGTGCTGTTTTTATATATTCCTCAACTAATCAGAGTAAATAAAATATGGCTATTTAAAATAGATTGAGGAAGTTTTGTGTTTTAAATGGACTTGCTTGCATTTGCTGTGTTGAATTTCCTTGGTATGGCAAATTGCCGAATGTGTCAGAATACCTTTGAAATAGAGAAATTGCAGCCAAAAAATATTGTAAATCATTTTAACATCTTATGTAATTGAGTTAGAAATGAAATAAAGGAATGGAATGCATTTAGTGGAATCACACTCAAAATCAGTGCTGACCTACACACAATTTGCTTAAAACACCATGCTTTTTTTTTTTTTTTTTTTTTAGTATATCTTATGTCTGCTTTTAGCAAGTGGCAGGTGGCAGAAATGACGAAAAACCCACACATATTCCTTGAAATGCCAACCCTAGATGTATCCGTTTTGGGGAATAGGAGAGGCTGTGTCCCAAAACAACTTCCTTGTAGCAAACCTCTGGGAAAAGCCTGATCTCCTCTTGGTATTGAGCCAATTCTAATGTCATTGTTATAAAAATTTTATTACATAAATGTACTGGGAATTATTAAGGCAATGCTTGCCCCTGATAGAATGTTGAATCTTAGAGTTGGATGGTTTATTTTTCTTTTTCCACCTTAGGTATGGTGGTCCCTGCAGTCAGAGTGTAAGATCTGTATTTGCTGTTAGTTGGATATCCTACCTTGCAAGTAAGGAAGGGATGGTCATTGCCTTGGTGGATGGTCGAGGAACAGCTTTCCAAGGTGATAAACTCCTGTATGCAGTGTATCGAAAGCTGGGCACTTATGAAGTTGAGGACCAGATTACAGCTGTCAGGTGAGCACCTCCTCATCATTTTGGGGTTTCTCCATTCTTTATTACTTAATTCTTTTGTTCTATTTTCCTAATTTGGGTCAACACTATTGTTAATCTTAAAGGTATGTTGTTGCCTAATAGAAGAAAAATTATTCATTGGAAAGAGCTAATAATTAAAGATTTATAGTAATAAATTACAGCTTGTTTGGATGTGTAAGTCATTTTCATATTCTTTCATTTATTGCTATGGCTCACAACTGGCAGAAAAGTTAGAGCAACTTGTATCATCCTAGAGACTATCTTCAAGAAACCAAAGCATCAGAATTTGCTCAAGTAATGTGAGTTCTGGGAGCTCTGGTAGCATAGTGGCTAAGACACTTGCCTGCTAACCAGACGGCTGGTGGTTCAAACCCACTAGCCACTCCTCGGAAGGAAGGTTGGGCAATCCTACTTCCGTAGTGATACTGCCTCGGAAACCCAAGGAGGGGTCGCTATGAGTCGGGGCCAACTCGACGGCACATAACAACAACAACAACAACAACAATGTGAGTTCTACCTCAAAAGCCGAGAAATGGCTCAAGATTTCAGGAGTTTAGGTCTTAGACCTTTATTTGTGTTTAAACTTGTGGTCAAGTTCAGCTATGTTAGCATGAAACAGTGCTTCCCTGTTTTAATTTGACAATAAAATACTGATTTTGCATACTAGAAATTATATTACTAAAACATTTAGAGGAAAATATACTCATGATATAAGTACTTTCTTCCCAACTACATTCTCAACTCCAATTTATGGCTCACTCAACTTTTACTGAAACAAAAAGAAAATAGTCACCAAAATTGTTATTTATTTGCAAGCATGGTACAGATAGATACCTTCTGGATATTTCTCTGTGGTTTCTGTAGATGAAGTTGGAGAATAAAACCATCAAGTTGATTCCTACTCATAATGACCCTATAGAACAGAGTAGAATTGTCCCATAAGGTTTCCAAGACTGTATGTCTTTACAGAAGCAGACTCTCTCATCTTTGTCCCACAGAGCAACTGACGGGTTCTAACCACTGACCTTTTGGTTAGCAGCCAAATGCTTTATCCATTGTACCACCAGAGTTCCTTAGTTGAATAAACCAAAAAACAAAAAACAAAACAAAAAAAAAATTCATTGTCATCACGTCAATTCTGACTCATAGAGAGCCTCAATGGGTTTCTGAGGCTGTAAATCTTTACAGAAGTAGATTGCCACATCTTCCTTCTGCAGAGCAGCTGGTGGGTTTGAACTGCTGATCTTCTGGTTAACAGCCAAGTGCTTTATCCACTATGCCACCAGAGCACGTTAGTTGGAGAATAGTAGAATATAAATACAAAAAATCACACTGGCTAATAACACTCTCAATCATGAATGTATACACATGCATAACAGTGGAAGATCAAACACTATTTCATGGAAGGGCAATTTAGAAATTTTATTATTTTATTACTTCAATGCCATTAATAGTTTTTAATTTTAATGCAGCACACACAAAACAGGCTGAATTTAACAACTAGGATCCAGGCCCAGATAACACTTATATGTATTTTTGTCTCTCATCAAAGCAGAAGAGCTTAGACTCACAAGTAATTATTTTTAAATAGAGAAAAGTAATTGTAACTCATATATTTGCAAATTATTCTTCGATTCTGTGAACAGTCATATATACACAAACTTACCCACAAAATATGCAATTAAAAACAAAAGCTATGTAAATAAATCTGACAAATTGGTAAATATATTATTAAATAACACTATAATCTGTCTCTATCATTCACACCTAACTTTTAAGAGACGCTATCATTCTCGTTGATCCAGATTTTTGGCCTTTTCAGTGTTAGTTTATAGGAGGCTTCTGTCTGACAGAGAGTTACAGAAAAGATAACACACAGAAGGACTTCGCTGAGAGATCAGTTTGCCCTATAGAGACTGTGGTGTGCCTTAATGAGAAGATCAACTCAGTTGTCAGAATTGTAGCTTAATTCTTTAAGGGATTTTTTCATGGCACCCTGGGTGTATTTATACCATGCAGTAAGTACCAAGGACATGTAATCCTTGGACTACATAAAAACACATTTGTAATTCAAAAAGATATTTTCCAAAGTTGGTAGAGCTATAGAGGGTGTTGTTTGGTATTGGTCAAAAGAAAAATATATCATCATCATGAAAACCCACAACCACCAACAAAATGTCATTCTATTTTTGTGCATCTATTTAACACCACAAAAGCAATATTCCAATTTAAGAAGACAAATACCTCAGGAAACAGAATAGAGATCTTTTGCTTGAGTTCCTCAGATGGAATGAAATTTTAAATATAAGCCTACTTAGGCCTTAATGAAAATTGCTATTCCCAATGTTCAACATAAACTCTAATTCACTGCCATTGAGTCAGATCCGAGTCATAGTGACCCATCCTTGGGTTTCCGAGGCAGTATCTCTACGGAAATAGATTGCCCCACCTTTCCAAGGAATGGCTTCTGGGTTTGAACCTCCAGCCTTCTGGATAGCAGTCAAATGCCTTAGGCACTACTTCACCAGAGCTCCCAATGTTCAACATATAGGACATAAAACCAAAAAATTCTACCAAATTGCACAATAACACCAATTCAAGTTTGGCATTTAGAATTGAAGATGAACCAGAGGTGGTAATTGGATAAACTTACCTTCTCTGAACCACTTTTAGGATAGAAGATAGAGAAGGTCTTCCTGCTATAGGGTAGGCATATGTTCACTTATGTACTCAGCCATTCAACAACAGATCAAATACTAGTACATGATATTGCAGTATACTCTGTATAAAATCGTTCCATTTATAATCTCTGCTTTCAGTGTGCTTACAATCTGGGAAAAGGGATAGGGTTGCTGTTGGAACTTTTTGTGAACATGTCCTGGTGAAGACAGTGGCTGCGTGTCTCTTGTGAAGCACATGCGCAACAGTGGATATTGCCGTGGGTCTAACCTTGGCTTTGCTTGACATATTCTGCAAAAGTGAAAGGGAAGTTTGGGAACCTGATGTTTTCAGAAAACAAATATTTAAAACAACAGATTTATAGTGACAATCTTGGGAATGATTCAACCAAATGTCTCCCAAAGAAATGTCCTAGGAATCAGACACAAAATATCTAAGCTAACCTGGAAATTGGGAGTATAGTCCCTCTACTGTAATCCTCATATTTTCCCTCAAGGAATGAAATTTGTTCCCTTGAATGTCTTATAAAATACAACTGCCTAAATTTTCTACATTTGAAAAGAAAATCATATATAAATTTGGAAACAACTGCAAATACTACTGGGGGCCAATCAATTAGATTCTAACAAAGCAAAATAAGAAAAAGAAGCCTTACAACCCCACAGCTACACAAAAGAGGGTATTTCAAAGGAGACACTTGTGCAATCCAAAGCATGAAACTAGGACAAACTTTCTTCAGCCTTCTCTGAAAACTGCACATATGTGAGGCCCATCCAACTTCAGGGGTTTTAGGTCCAACTCTGCTAATTTGAGGGTACCTTAGGCCTTAGGTTCTACATTTTCACAACTTTTTAAAATTTTACATAACTTGAAGATTAGCAATGGAAAAGAATTGCACGAGGAAATGTCATATCACACGATTGTAGACCCTATCAAGAAGATCATTTCTAAACTAGGATAATGATTCATCACTAGGATTCTGAAGTAACCTTGGCTTACGTCAGTTTTTTCTGATAGATATGTTTTTGTGATATGCATCCCAGCCTATAAAATTAGAAAAACATCATTTTTGTTCATTACTAACATTTTGTTGATTTAACCACGTTATCACCACTATTTATGCCCTCTGGGAAGCTCTTCAGAATTTGAAAGTAAATTTTATAAAGCCTTGTTGATCTCAAAGTGCTCAGATTATCTAGGTAACCTTTAACCTAGTCTGCCACATTAAGTGTTAATGTTTCATTTCCACGTTAACTATTGCACTATCATTTCCAGTAAATGTCATCCTTTCAGAATAAACCTAGGAAAGGAGCTGTTAAGAATTTCCTGTTTGCATGTGTCACCTGTTATTTGCCTTTTAATCCAGATGCAAGGCAGTGTGATTGCTAGCTTCTGGGAGATCATAAAATCAGGACTGATTTTATGGTCCACTACTGTCTTCAAGCATTAGTGGCAAGATTTAAAAAAAAAAAAGAGAGAGAGAGAGAGAGAGAGAGAGTAAAACCTTTGTTTTTTTAATTTGGTGTTGAAATTTGTGAAGAATTGGCCAAAGTGCCAAAACTTACTGTACATTTTCTCCGGTTTATCATGAGCAACATCTACACAGGTAGCAACTTTTTGTTTGCTGCTGCATTTCTTCCATGTAGACTCCTCAATGTCCCTCAGAATCAGTGTCGGGTAAGCTGTGACTAACGGGGCCTCTTCCCATCTGTTTGTCCCGGGCATTTGCCCAACTCCTCTATGCATCTGAAACGTGCAAGCTGAATCAATGCATCGAGCAAAATGGTTACTGTGAAATCCTTTTAAGAAACTCCACTATCCAACTCATGAAAATTACTCAGTCCTAATTCCAGAGAAGGAAAAGAAAGGATATTAACAATAATCCAAGATAATTTTTAAAAATAGTATTTTGGGAAGAGCCACATGTCTCACTTTGGTTTCCCACCCATTGCTGTGGCCTCTGCAGTGGCTAACCCAGTTTGCATAGCTCTACCACTGCTTCTGTTTCTCAGAGATTTTCTCAAGCTTTTATCTCAAGCCATCCCTAAAATAAATCCCAATTGTTCTAGAGCACCAGCCCTTAGTGGGGCATGCTGTAAGTTAGCCTGAAACATGCTTTTCATACGAGCTTTGCAAAGTTGTATTTCCTGAGGGCTTCTCATGACTTCTTAAGACTGCCTTTCAATATGGACTCTTCCTCCTAAGGAAAGATTTATTATCAAAATAGTTTGTAAGTGGATGCTATCTATGGTGGAATATAAATGAGTCATTTCCATATACATAATAATATGTCCATTTACAGAAAGGATATGTAAAAGATACATATAATTGTCCACACCGTGCTGAAATGAGAGTATCTAAGTATGACATTGGAGAGGAATGGATATTTATCTCAAGTATGACTGAAAAAATGGAGCCCTGGTGGTATAGTGGTTAAGCGCTGGGCAGCTAACCACCAAAAGGTTGGCAGTTCAAACCCACCAGATGCTCCATGGGAGAAAGATGTGACAGTCTGCTTCTGTAAAGGTTGTTGTTGTTGTTGTTGTTATGTGCCATCGAGTTGACTCTGACTCATAGCAACTGCTCCTTGGGTTTTCAAGGCAGTATCACTACAGAAGTAGATTGCCCAACCTTCCTTCCGAGGAGTGGCTGGTGCGTTTGAACCACCAGCCTTCTGGTTAGCAGTCAAGTGCCTTAGGCACCTTGGAAATCCTATGGGGCAGTTCCACTCAGTCCTATTGGGTCACTATGAGATGGAATCTACTCAGTAGCAGCAGGTTTTTATTTTTATTTTTATGACTAAAAATGAAATTATGATTATCATTAATATTTAAGCAAACAAGGTAATAACAAATGAATAAAATTTAACACAGCAACAATAAAACTTTCTTTCTAAAATCTGGGAATTTGGAAATTTGAATCTAGTCATGGAGAATAATGTCTGTATTACCGTAAGCCAGTCTCTTGACCTTTCTCAATTGCAGGTAACTCACCTATAAAATTAAGATACTAGCCCTTACAGCTCTGTCAGTCCTACTCAATAAATGTGCAATAAAGTCTAAAGGATCCTTTCTCCATTGCAGAAAGCATAATAATATTCTTTTAATTATTTGTAAATGTAGTCTTATTATGCATGTGTTTAAACAAAGAAAATGTAGCATTTCTATTAAAACTTTGGATTAAATATGCTTGTGTAATGAAGTAAATGTCATGTGTACACACTTAAAATTTTTAAAAATGTGTTTCTTTTACTTTAGAAAATTCATAGAAATGGGTTTCATTGATGAAAAGAGAATAGCCATATGGGGCTGGGTGAGTTGTTTTATATTTTTTATGCCTGTTATTCAGTTCAGCAATTTTCTGAAGTGTTCGTTTATAAGGTTTCTCATGAAATGTTAATGTTGAAACATAATTTAATCTTGTCAATGGAAACAGTCAATTTGGGTGATCTGGGCTTCAAAGTGGTAGTTTTAAATTTGTTCCTTTTTCCAATCATTTCATTTCTTCTATGTATAGCAAAATAAGGAAGCCTTGATGGTGCAGTGCCTAAGCATTCTGCTAACTGAAAGGTCAGTGGTTCAAACCCACCAGCTGCTCTACAGGAAAAAGATGTGGTGGTCTGCTTCCATATGATGTACAGTGTTGGAAACCCACCCTGTGGGATGGATAGTGCCACTCTGCCCTAGAGAATTGCTATGAGGAGAAGTTGACTTGACAGCAATGGGTTGTTGTTGTTTGTTTATAGCAAATTAACTCATAATTCAGAAATTTTCATTTAATTTATTGGTAATAGATTATACCATGCTAAACTGATCTATATTTGTCATCAAATTGGACAAGTTTAATTCCCCCTTGTAATTACAAGGTTAAATATATACTTTTCCTTGTATATTTTATTTTTAGGAAGAGCCAAGCTAAATTTTGGAATGACAGGAATTTTTATAATACAACTTCTGTAGTACCTAGAGTAAGAGCCCTGGTGGCACCCTGGTTAAAACATTTGGTTGATAACCTAAAGGTCAGCAGTTCAAACGAACCAACTGCTCTGTGGGAGTAAGATATGGCAGTCTGCTTCCCTAAAGACTTACAGCCTTGGAAACCCTATGAGGTAGTTCCACTCTGTCCTATAGGATTGCTATAAGTTGGAATCAATTCTATGGCAGTGGGTTTGGTTTACTTGGTTCAGTACCTAGAGTAGCCCAGTCATGTCTTTTACCAGACCTAGTTTCCATTTGGATAGGGAAAAGTATTACTCAGTTTCCTAATTCTAGGTCACAGAGATAATATCCCACGTTTCAGGAGTTGTGCAGATTTTGAAGATACATTTTAAAAGAAGTGGCAAGACTTATCAAGCATGGGCAATGAGGTCACTGGAAAGTATAGAGAAATATTGGAAAGATTGCAGAGTTGCCCATTATAAATTATCATAATTATCCTTCCAAGAAATTTCCTGGTTCACTTTCTGGTCTGAATTTGTACATTTGCAAGTCAATTTGCAGCCGTTTGTGCTTGGTTTGTTTTTCTTGGCTGTTTTCTCAGAGAGCGGCCTGCACAAATGGAGGGAATGAAACCCAATATTGAAGAGAGTCTGCAGGATTCAGCCCAATTCTCAGCTCAGTGACCAGATGAAGAGCTGTTGTGAATTTGGGGAAAGTTGTTACTTCAAGCCATTTGGTCCTTCTTAAAACTATCAAATGTTAAATATCTAAACAGAATGGAATTCAAATGGGTTGAATAAATGAAATCTTTTTATACTAAAATATTTCAGATAAGAACTTTCATACCATCCACTTACATGAAATTCCCTAAAGTAAATCCTTGAAAGATTCACATTTTAAGATAAACATTTACATAAAATCATTAACATTTCTCCTAGAGTTATGTTTTGCTTTTACTACAGGCATTGAAATAACCATAAAATGGAATATTTATTTCATTCTTTAAACATTCCAGGTATTAATTAAGTAGAGAATCTTCTATATGGGATGATGTACTAAACCCATTCATTACCTAAAAATACCTTCCTTATCAGCCTGATGGGAGCTCTGGTAGCATAGTGCCTAAGGGACTTGACTGCTAACCAGAATGCTGGCGGTTCAAACCCACCAGCCACTGCTTGGAAGGAAGGTTGAACAATCTACTTCCATAGTGATACTGCCTCGGAAACCCAAGGAAGGGTTGCTGTGAGTCGGGTCTGACTCGATGGCACATGACAACAACAACAACATCAGTTTGATACTCTTCAATAAGAGATTTTTACCAGCTCTAATTATGCAAGTGCGTCTGGAAGCATCTTTCTATCATATCAACAATTGTGAGATAGACCCTGAGAGCATGTTCAGGAGAGGAAAGTAGTAGTGGGCTACCAATGGAAATGAGATCTGAACAGGCCACAAATCAGCAGAAGTTACCTGAAGATGGAAAAATTCCTTAATACTAAACTGTTTTTATCAGGTCTTTGGGTTTAAGATCCATCTTTATTTATTAATTGAGCTGTAGGATCACTGACTTATTCATTCTTTCATCCACGAAGTAAACCTTTATTGTATCTCTACTAGGTCTTGTGCTAGGTTCTTTAAGGGATGAAAAGATGGGTAAGATATAGCCCTGGCCCATTCATAGAGCAAACAGATAGCAAAAAAAAAAAAAAAAAGTGATGGAGCAGTGTATCAAGAGCTAAAATAGATGTAACTTGCTGTGAAGAACACCAGGTAGAAAAGTTGTTAATTCCAACTGTAAGAGTTAAGGCAGGATTCAGAAATGAAGGAACATTTAAGCTTGGCAAAGATGGCTCTGGTGGTGCACTGTCTAAGGCATTTGACTGCTAACCAGAAGGTTGGTGGTTCAAACCCACCAACCACTCCATGGAAGGAAGACCAGGCAATCTACTTCCATAAACATTTACCAACTTGGAAACCCAATGGGGGTCACTATGAGTCAGAATCAACTTGATGGCAGTGGGTTTTGGGGGTTTTAAGACAGTTTAGTATCAAGACACTCCAGGTAGAAGTAACAAAGAGCAAGGCCCACATGTGACTCAGTTGGTTAGGATGCCTGAAACTTCAGAAGTGTGCAATAGTGAGAAAGGTCTAGGAAATTAGTCTAAGCAGGTAGGTAGCAGCCAGATAACAGGGCTTTTTACCAAAACAAAACAAAACAAAAAACCCCACCCAATCTCAATGCTGTCATTTTCCAACTCATAGAGATCCCTTCTTGGGTTTCCAAGGCAGTATCTCTACAGAAGTTAGGTTTGAACTGCCAGCCTTCTGGTTAGCAGTCAAATGCCTTAGGCACTACACCACCAGAGGTTTTTTAGGCTATGTAAAAGAAAGTGAACTTTATCCATGGCTCTGGACACCTTTCTTTCCTCTTCCTCCTATGGCTCTCTGATCGTTACATTCTCCTCGTCCTCCTAACTCCCCTTCCTTCCTTCCTTCTTTAAATGTTGATGGTTTCCTGGGTCTGGCCTTGATCCTTATTGTAGTTTCTCAGATAATAATGACTGCCAGATCCTTGACACTTCTCTACACCTCTCTTCTGACCTCCACATTTCATAGGTCTACTGGTCATCTCTTCCAAATGTTTTACAGGGACCTCAAGCTTAAATTGCCCCAAGCTAATCTTGTTGTACCAGTTATTGTTGAGTCAATTCCAACTCATGATGACTCCATATGTTTCAAAGTAGGACTGTGCTCCATAGGGTTTTCAATGGCTGATTTTTCAGAAATTGATCAACAGACTTTTCTTCCAAGACTCCTCTGGGGGGACTCAGACTTTCCATCCTTTAGATTAGCAGCTAACCATTAACCTTTACGTTAGGTTAACCATTTGCACTACCCAGGGACTCCAATCCTGTTAATGTCTACCAAAAACCAAGCTGACTATATTCTGAACACCTTTAACATCTAAATCTGTTCTCTCCTTACCTTCCTCACTAATACTGCCTTAGTTCAGGTTTAGACTAGAGCTTCCCAAACTTTTAGCTTTCTTAAAAATCACTTGGAGAGCTTGCTAAACCATAACTTGCAGTGCCTCACCATCAGAGACTCTGATTCAGTACTCTATGGTGGAGCCCAAGTGTTTGCATTTCTAACAAGATCCCAGGTAATACTGATACTTTTAGTTTTAGTTCATGCACCATAGTTTGGATAAGCAGGGGGAAAAAAAAAATGCCACCAAGTCAATTCCAACTCAAAGCAAACATATAGGACAGGGGACACCTGACCCATAGGCTTTCCAAGACTGCAATCATTATTAAAGCAGACTGCCACAGCTTTCTTCTGCATAGCAGGTGATGGATTTGAACCACCAGCCTTTTGGTTAGCAGCCAAGCACTTAACCACTACACAACCAGGGCACCTGGTAGTTTGGATAGCACTGACTTAAAATATTTCAATTGCCTCTTAATTGGACTCCCTACTTTAGTCTCACAAGCTCCAATGTTGCTAACAAAGTTAGGGTTCCATATTGTCCTTAAGATATGCTCAAGGGTATTTTTTTTTTTCTTTTTGCACGCAAGGTCCTTGAGAATCAGGCCCCAATCTACCCTTCTAGTCTTACCTCTCTTCACTTTCCTCGATGAGTTATTTAACCTATGTCTGCGCTTTCTTGCTCGTAAGCTTTTGTATCTGTGATTCCCTATACCTGCAATTATCCTCCTCTATCCTACTCCAAAATGGAAAACTACTTGTGAAATACAAAACTTGGGTATCACTTTCTTTGTGCTCCAGTCATTCTTTACACTGCTTTTATAAGAAAATTTCTCACATTTTATCTTGTTTGTCTATTAGTTTTTCCCATAAGAATACAAGCTCATCAAGGGAATATTGTGTATGTGTGTGTGTGTGTGTTTAGCTTTATTAAATAATGAACACTTGCCATAATACTTGGCCAACTCAGGCCACCTTTAAATGGAATTTAACTCAATAAGTCAATATTTCCTCCAAATCTGTCCCATTGATACTAAGGTATTTTTCAGGAACAGTTAGTTCTATATTCTAATAAGCTTGATAAATAATATATTCTATATAGTAGTGTATATAGGCTCTAGGAAAGGAGTTCTGGTGGCTCAGTGTCTAAGGTATTTGACTGTTAACTGGAAGGTTGGTGGTTCAAACCCATAAGCTGCTCCATAAGAGCATACTACTTCCATAAAAATTTACAGTCTTGGAAACCCAGTGAGGGTTGCTATGAGTCAGAATTGACTCAGTGGCAGTGAGTTTGGTTTTTTGGTGTAGGCACTCTAAGAAGGACTAGTATAAACCAAAAAACCAAACTCACTGTGATTGAGCAGGATCTGACTCATAGCCACT